GTGTGCTGCACTCCATGCTGATGAATCCCCATCTGGAGCGCTGGGAGAGCAGCCTGGCACATGACAGCCATCCCGGGCCCGACAGGGATTTGCTAGGGCTGGAATTCGTGCTCTACAATAGCAGCGTCTCACACGTCACACCAGTCACTGCTCCCCGAAGGGCCGGGCTACATTCGGTAGCAATGTCCTTTAACAGCACAGGGAGCAGCTCTGGGCGAAGCATTGCACGGAACTGCTCCCTGTAGGGTCGTGCTACTTCCGGCAGCAGTTTCGTCCAGGCGCGGCTCCTTACGAGCCTACGAATCAGAAAGAGCTACCGGGAGCACATTCCTACGCGCCCTCAGCCCAGGCCAAAACCAGCCCGAGTCTGTTGGCATGGAGACGGCACCCGGCGAGCGGGAAGGGGGCGGAGGGAAGAGGAAGAGGAGGGGGCCAGCAGCAAAACGGCCTCTGATTGGCTGGTGAAAGGTCAACGGTGCCCAATAGCAGGGGAAAGATGGTAATGAAGCTTCAAGATGGCGCGGAGGTAAACACGGCTGGCGAGTGACTCCCCCAGAAGCATAGTCGGTGGCTGAGGGGCAGCGCCGCAGGCAGCCGCCGCGGAGGATCTTCCGCGGGGGAAGCGATCGTCAGCTCCTGGCCGCGGGGCGGCACCTGGCGGAGGAGAGATTCAGGAGGTGGTAGCTGCGGGAAGCTGGATGCGGGGCAGGGTAGCGAAGGGGCAGGATGGGGTAGAGTAGTGGCGGGGGTTGAGGGGTGGGAGCCGTGGTAGGGACTCTGGGACGAAAGGGGGCTGGTAGTTGGAGGGGAGGGGAGCGGTATTTTTGCTTTCTGGGAAGGTGGAGGTCTCAGGAAGTGGGAGGAGGGGGCAGCGCACTTGTGAGGGATGGGGGGGCCGGAGGTGGCTTTGTTTGTGGGTGAATGGAGCCAGTTTGTTAGGTGGGAAGAGCAGGGCTCAGGGGCCGCCCTGCATGTGAGATTCATGGTGGCTTAGCAGACTGCTTAGGGCATTCTCAAAGTGATTCTGGTTGAAACTGTAAACTGCTCCCCAAAACCCACCTAGCATGAGCCCTCTTCCCCTCCTGGAGGGGGAACCTGCCTTAAAATCAATCAAGAGAAAAGAGGCCTCTTTCCTCCCTCTTTTTGTACTTGCCTCTTCCAAAGTGAGCCTGATTTGGAACGATAAATCAAATCTGAACAACTATTGGGGGTAGAGGGTAGCACTTGCAGGAGGAGATGGAAATTCTCTGAGGCAGAGAATAATAATCTTGTCATATGTGTCATTGAGAGACACTAGGGGACTCGTAAACTTGTACCTATAAATAACTATCTATGGAAGATTTGGCTTTTTTTTTAATGTTACCAGTTCATACCATTTTTAGATTAGGGATGTTAGCAAGTAGTCATCTACCAGATAAGCATAAGCTTATCAGGTAGTTGAGTGGAATAGTCAACTACTCATACCCCCCCCCCCACACACACACACACCTTGCTGCCTCTGTATGAGAGGCAGCAAAGGGGGTGGAACAGGAGATGCTACTGGGGGGAGCTGGCTTAAAAGCTGGTTCCTCCCAGCATTGTCTTCCTGGTGCCGCCTTTCCTTCCCCCTCCCCCCAATAGATATAGGAGGCTGCTCTGGCAGCAGTACCTGTCCATGGAGTCCCAGCAGGGAGCTGAGTCTCCTGCTCCCCATGAACAGGGGCTGCTGGACTCAGCACGAGCCGGGACCGAGCAGTCCTGACTTGCACTGGTCTGCGGTGTTGCTTCTTCTACATTTTAAATGTAGTAAGTGTGCGGCTGCTATTACTACATTTAAAATGCAGAGCTGTAGCATGGGTGGCTACCAGAGCTGGCATGAGCTGGGACTGCTCAATCCCGGCTCAAGTTAGCTCTGGGAGCTACCCAGGCTGCAACTCTGGGAAGTGGTCCTTATTGACTAATTGTGTAGTCAATACAAATTCTATCGACTACATGATTAACCAGATAACATCCTTACTTTAGATTCAAAAGAAAAGCTCATGATGTCTTACAGGCTGAACCTCTGTTGTTCTGGACTAATGGGTTCGGTAATGTCTGTCGTCCGGACGGACCACATATTAGGGATATTAATCCATCAACTACTCCATCAACTACTCGATTGGTCATTAAGGGAGGTAACTTCAGAGCTGCAGCAGGGTTAGCTCCCCTTGGCAGCTCTTAATACATTTAAAAGGAAGAGACATAGCCGGGGGACTGGGTGGGAGCCTTGAATTAGCTGATTCTCAGCTCATACCTGGCTCCCCTTGCTGTGCCTCTGCTTTTTAAACATATTAAGAGCTGCTGGGCTCTTAATATGTTTAAAAAGCAGAGGCACAGTGTCTGGGACCAGTCATCTGGTTCCCAGCTCATGGCCGGTCCCCAGCTCATGGCCTCTGCCTCTCCTGTCCCCCGGAGACAGTGCTGGAGGGAACCATCTTTTAAGATGACTCCCCACTGCCCGAGCTCCTGCTCCTGCTAGTCCCTCCCCTTGCTGTCTCTTTCTGATAGAGGCAGCAAGCTGGCAGGAAAGTGACTAGTTGAGTGACTACTTGACCAGCATATGCTTATCGGGTAGTCAGCTTGTCACTTACATCCCTACCACGAATGTTGCTGGATTAGAGAGCCCCAGTAAGAGGTTGCCAGTAGCTTGGAGCTCAGCTGGTCTGGCAGCAGGCAGCCTCTATAGGGGCGGTGAGCCCCTCTGACCCTGAAGCTGCTGCTGGCCAGAGCTGCGGAGCTGCTGGCCAGGACTGTGGACCCCCAGCAGCTGGGATGAAGCTCTGCTGGCTGGAGATGTGGAACCACTTCCAGATAGCAGCAGAGAGTCCTTGTGACTGGGGTCGGAGAGCTACTGCCAACTGGCGGCAGGGAGCCCCGGTGGTCTGAGCAGGGCTGCAGTCCTGAGTGGAGTTTTGCCAGTGGGCTGGGGGCAGGGCACTGGTTGGGCCAGCGGCCAGAATGGGAGCCCTGGGACAGCCCAAGGCCTGACCTCCCCTGGTCTGGCAAACTCCCTCTTTCGGATCCATTCTGGTCCTGTGGTTCTGGACAAAGAAGGTCCCATCTGTATTTTCAGTCCAATTCAATGAGAGTTTGACACCCCTCCCCCTTCTGCCCATTCCCAGCCTGCTTAGATAAATTGTACAGGTGTTGCCAAACTGTGTTAAAATGCAAATAAATCAATCATACACAAAGCTATCTTGGAAATCAGGCAACATCAGCTTACCATAGACCTGTTTGCACTCGCTGCCTTTAGGAAATGATCCCCTTTGGCCATTTGTCAGCATTGTCCATTTCTAATACCATCATGGTCAGGTACAGTTTTTAGTTTTGTTTTTAGGGTTGTTTTTTTCAGATTAAGTCTCTGTGAGGAGGAAGTCATTTAACTAGTTTTAAAGTAAATTTGAAAGCGTCTTTCAGGTTTTGCTTTAAATCTGTTACACTAGAGTGAATTTGAAGCAACTCCATTGTAGTCAAGATTTACAGTGGTGCAACAAAATGAACTCTGATCTTGTACTGCTCATGATCCATGTTTTTGTGTTCCACAATTCAGTGAAACACTTAGAACAACATTTTTAAAAGTCTTCATGTGTAACCCAAACACCTGCTGAGTTTGGTGTCCTGTTCCATCTCTGGCACTGAGACCACTTACAGAGAGAATGAGTCTGCTCTACAGCCTTAGTTAATAGCCAGCTGGCACAGACAACCAGGGTCTGTTGGCGTTACACATGCAAAATTATGCAAGCACTTTTGGAGACACTTGACTTGCAGTTAAAGGACACACACAAATCTCACTGTACATATTTCAAAAGCATCTAGCCTCTAATGTTTGTCTCCAGTTTTTTTCTTTAGATACTGTTCATACACCACCCTTGGATAATTCTGTCCTCTAGATTCATGCAGTATGATAATGCATTTTTAAAAAAATCTTGAATTTAGGCGGTGTGAATGGTTAACTCGTAAGCCTCACACTTAAGTTTACTGGCTAAGGTAACTGGCTGGGGCTATTCTAGCCATGCTGGAGCATCCTCTGTCAGCAGCAGGCCCAGGTGCCCCACAGACATGTGTTGCCACAGGATGGGGGGTGGGTACCACTCAAATTGGGCTAAAATGACCTCCCCATTCCCCAGCCTGCTGTTCCCTTTACAGCGCTACTTGAGTTACAATTTTTCTATCCTTTATATTTTCTTTTGCTCTTTTAGAATTTTGAAACTTGTTTTTTAATGTAATCTGGGTAAATTCATATGAAGTTTGTCTCTTCACAAAGATTTTTGTTATGTTTTTTAGACTCGAAGATGTGGAGCGGGCTGTTACCCCCTGATATGAATGAAAGTGATGTTGACTCGAGTGCTGATGAGGGAGACCCAGCGGATGGTCCTGTATCTTGTTCCAAGGAAGATAAAGTCGAGAATGTCAAAGGAGTTCAGGTTGTTGAATTTCAGACAAATAGACATGAGAGAATCACTGAAAGTAAATCTGCTCCTATGGTAGTGGCAGATGGAGAAAACAAATGTCAAGAATGCCCTTCAGGAGTTTCTTTAAAAATGTGGAATGTGAGTAATATTAGTTGTCTGTAAATGGCCAGTGTACAATGTAACACATTCAGCTTTGTAGTTTTCCATCACCCATTGGAAAAAGTTGTAACTTAACAAGCTGGTAAATGGGATTTTTTTAATGTAAATTGTATTTCTACTTTCTTTACAGATTGGTAACGTAAAGCCCAGGGGGGAAATAATATAGGCACAACCACTCCCTCATACAAAGTATTCTGTTCAGGTCAGGATCTGAGTCCCTGAACTTTGCAACTGGCTTCTGTATTGTTAAAAATTTGTAATTAAGCATAATTTCCAATTTCCTGAATATTTAAGTTCTAGTCAACAAAAAAAGAACTTTTAATTTCATGTAAGCCCTACTATTCAGTATCAAAATAGTTTCCAAACCTAATTCATTTGCTTTGGTCTATGCGTGTTTCATGTGGAAGGAGAAAAGGTTGGAAAATTCGTACTAATGAAATGACCAGTATACACTGATTTTTCACACTGGGCCTCTAATTCTGAAGAAAGATTACAAAAAAACTCATCTTTCGCCATAGACTGGATAACCAGCTATGTAAGAGCAGTTTTTAATTATCCCTGGACATTCGCCTGTCATCTAACCTGACATCAGAGGACTTTACAAATATGCTTAATGTGACATCTTAATGTGTTTCGAGTTAATTGTGTACCTTATAATGAAGATTGGGATGCAGTTGTAATGATTCATAGTCTAAAAGGAGGGGTGTGGCAGAAAGTCAGATGATATTATGTGAAATGAAGTAGGGATGTTAAATTGTATTTAATCAGATAATCAAGTAGTCAATGGAATTTCCATCGACTCCTCAATTAGTTGATAAGGGGGGAAACTGCTGAGCCACAACAGGGCTAAACCTGCTGTAGCTCTGCCTTTTAAATGTATTAAGAGCCTCCAAGCTCTTAATACATTTAAAAGGTAGAGGGGCACAGCAGGGGGGAGACCAGGCAAGAACTGGGACAGCTGATTTCCAGCTTGTGCCCCCATCCCCAACTGCGCCTCTGCCTTCCCTGCAGCCCACGGACATGGTGCTGGCGGGAACCAACTTTTCAGCTGGCTCCCCCTCAGTATGTCGTCTTTGCAACTTAGTACCAGCAGAATTGAACTGGTGCTATATAAGAATTAGAATTTTGGGAAACGTTTTCAGTACATTTTTTTTTTTTTCTCATTTAGAATTCTGAGTTTTCTTTTTCCTGCTCCTATAGAAATTTCAAGAGCTGCAGAAGAAAAGCTTTGAAATGAAAGTCCAAACAAATCAGGGAAATAGGGGACAAAAGAGAAAACGTTACAGAAAAGGTATTTCATTCTATTACATTAGTAAATCAAAATGCATTTAGTATTTAAGTAATAGTGTATTTTTTCAGGAATTAAAGTGATAGAGTAGGCTGGAGGGTACCATTGATGCCAACATTCTGTGCCTATAAATGGGAGACTTTGTTGTGTTGACTAGGTTATGGAAACCGCATAGATTTATGTTTGTGTCACCTTGCAAGGAAATTCAACCTGTAAATGTTTTTTAATTAATGTTGATTTATCAAGATCACCAGTTAGCTAATATATTTTTTAGTAATCCAATTGCTCACTCTTGCTTTAGTTTTCTAAATACAACTCTCTACCTACAGAGACTGTGTAAAGTTCTTATTATGAAAACCCTTACTACTAAGCATAATCCTGTTCCTTAAAAATATTTTAGAAATTAATCAGTATGGCCCCAATTCTGCTATAGGGCGAGAGACTGACTAAATAGGATTCTATTGACCTATTGAAACTTTATGTGGGAGATTTCTTGGCCTTTCAGGAAAAATTACTTGGTAATACCCTACATGTTAATCTTGAACTAATCTCTTGTAATAACTTCTGGTACAAGTCTTTGAATGTTTTTAGATTTGATTGCTTTATTTTTTTCTTTTCAGAAAGACTGAAAAAGAACAAAAAAGAAGCAATTGAGAGGTATGAAAAATGCAGTATAATTATCTGAAGTGTGGTTTATAAAAGGATATTTTTAGAAAGAATGGGTACAAAACTTGACTAACCTTAGAGCCAAATTTTATCTTTGGGTGTCTGTAAACAGTTTCCAAGTCAGTCAGAGCCCTTTTAAGTCAATGGCTGAATTTGACCCCTAAAATTATTTGATGGGGAAATTTCTTGATTTAACAAAAATTAATTTAGATAGAAATTAAGAATAGAGGAAGTACTTAATTTATTATTATTTAATTCATAGCTATGGAGACTTTCCCTTGATTGCTCTGATTGTATGTGTTGCCATGTGAAATTTACTGTAGGAATGGAGTCATACATGACTCAAATACAGATATTGCGAAGCAAGCAAAAGGAACTTTTTTTTTTGTCGTTAGACAGTTGAAAACAGTGTGTTTTATTTAAAAAAAAAAAAAAAAAAAAAACACCAAATGGGAGAACACTGATATTACAAACTATGGAGAATTTAAAAATACTTAGCTGCTAATGTTAATTGCTATTTGTATTTTAATTGAATTATCAATTAAATTTTCTCTGTGTGCTTAGTATGAAGTTGGGTTTGTTTTTTCAGTCCGCAATCTACAAATGAAAGTCAATGGACGGAACTCACACAATACTTTGGAATCAATGATAGATTTGAATCACTTGCGAGCAACAGGGGTGCCCAAAAGGTGATTGCTATTCATAATTTCTTAGAAGTATGATGACCATGATATATTATGACAAAACTAAGTTGATTGAAGGTGAGTAAATACTCACACAGAATTCTCTCTCTCTCTCATAGAAATATTATACTAGTAATATGCTCTATTAGTTAGATATCACACAGTTTATGGATCTTTCTTATACAGGCAGTCCCCGACTTACGTGGATCCGACTTATGTCTGATCCGCACTTACGAACAGGGCTTTTCTCGCCCCGGAGCTTGTGGGCGGCGGGACCGCCCAGAGTTCAGCGGTCCTGTTACCGCGTCCTCTGGGGCGAGAAAAGCTGCTCCGGGTCTCCCTGGTGTGCTGGGGGGGGACTCCCCTCCAGCACAGCAGGGAGACCCGAGCAAAGCCGCGGAGGCGCAGAGGTCCCGCCGCCTCTGCGGTTTTGCTCCTGTCTCCCTGCTGTGCTGGGGGGGGACTCCCCTCCAGCACAGCAGGGAGACCCGAGCAAAGCCGCGGAGGCGCAGAGGTCCCGCCGCCTCTGCGGTTTTGCTCCTGTCTCCCTGCTGTGCTGGGGGGGGACTCCCCTCCAGCACAGCAGGGAGACCCGAGCAAAGCCGCGGAGGCGCAGAGGTCCCGCCGCCTCTGCGGTTTTGCTCCTGTCTCCCTGCTGTGCTGGGGGGGGACTCCCCTCCAGCACAGCAGGGAGACCCGAGCAAAGCCGCACAGGCGGCGGGACCCCGCTGCCCGTGCGGCTTTGCTCCTTTGCCCCGGCAGCAGGGAGCACAGCAGGGAGACAGGAGCAAAACCGCAGAGGCGGCGGGACCTCTGCGCCTCCGCGGCTTTGCTCGGGTCTAGCTGGTCGGCTGGGGGGGGAGGGGGCGCAGCTAGTGCGGTCCCCCCCCCCCAGCAGACCAGGTTTTTGTTGCGGGATGCCTGGGGTAGAGCAGCTAGGGTGCTGCCGGGTTGGGCCTGCGGGGACCTACCCGGCAGTGCCCCAGCTGTTCTGTCCCAGGAGTCCAGATTCAGCCACTGTTGAAACTGATCAGCGGCTGATTCCAGGAAGCCGGGGGCAGAGCAACTCTGCCTAGGGCTTCCTGTAGTCAGCCGCTGATCAGTTTCAGCAGCGGCTGAATCTGGAGCCAGTTCCGACTTTACATACAAATTCAACTTAAGAACAAACCTATAGTCCCTATCTTGTACGTAACCCGGGGACTGCCTGTATTGAAGAATTGCTATACTCTGATGCAATATTTCTTGGTATTGCCTTCCGTTTCTGTTTTCTTTTTTTCTCTGATACACATAGAGGGATGTACACATCTGACTTGTCTAGGGTGAATATCTAGTAATTTTAAAATACTTCAGCTGATACTTTCTCTGAAGTAACCTTTCTATTATTAACATATTTATTAACATTGTCAATAATTCTTAGAAACTTATGGTACTAATTATTAGTGATTGCCATCAATAGTGTCACGTTTTCAAAGCCCATTTATCTTTATAAATTGTGTTATGTCTCTCGGTCTCTCCAGACTGCTTTGCCCCTTTCAGGAGTCTGATTTGTCTTGCATATGCCCAAATTCATCTCACTAAAAAACTACTTGCTTACAAAATTAAGTAAAAAAAACCCTTGAATGATGTTAGTACAAACTAAAATTTCATAGACAGTTATTTTATTCTTCTATGTATACACCGTACACTGAAAAAGTACAATACTTATATTCCAGTTCATTTGTTTTATAATTCTCATTTTTACCATATGGAGTAAGCACTTTTTCAGTAAGGGTGTGTCTAGACTGCAGGGTTTTTTTGAAAAAAAAAAAAAAAAAGGCATTTCTTCGAAAAAACTTCCCCTGCCTCTGGACTGCTACCGTGTTCTTTTGAAAGTAAATCGAAAGAACGTGGCAGTTTTTTTTGACCGTGGAAAACCTCATTTTACAAGGAAGAACATCTTTTTTCAAAATGCTCTTTTGAAAAAAGGCGCTATGTAATGCAAACTGTGCTTTTTCGAAAGAGAGCATCCAGACTGCCTGGGTGCTTTCTTTTGAAAAAACGGCTTATTTTTTCAAAAGTACTGGTTTTAGTGTAGACGCTCTTTTTCGAAAGAGGCTTTTTCGAAAGTATCTTTCGAAAAAGCCTCTTTCGTAAGAGGCTTGCAATCTAGACGTAGCCAAAGGGTGCTGCGATACTTCTGGGTTTTTTTATGTTGTCTATTGTAAAACCAGGAAAATATCTAGATGAGTTGATATACCCCATGGAAGATCTATGTGTACTCCCTGGAGGATACACATACCCCTAGTTGAGAACCACTGCATTATGGCATTCTTTAGTCAGTGATGTTTTTCCAAGACTTAAGCAATTGATGTGGTTTCACAACATGTTTTCTAGATTATATATCCCAACTGAAGTGACTCTGACCACTGTTTTCTGAGTCCTTGTCCTAGGCAAATATCTGCTCATAATTCTTATCTGAAGTTGCAGTCTTTCACTGAACAGCTCAAGGTAGAGCTGGATGATAGAGGCACATTGGCCAGCAAAATGTGAAAGCTCTCCAGCTGAGATGATTAGCTGAATTATTTTTATTAGTGCTGGCAAACTGTAAATTCTATCTATTAATTTAATAAGAAATCAAACAGAATTGACTATTAGCACAACTTTGAATGTTATTAATTTTTTGTTCTTTGAGTTACATATTCAGTGTGTGAATGAAAGGAAAAATCCTCTTAACGCTATTTCTCAGGAGTAACCTGTTATATTTCCGTTTATTATGACATCTTTAAAGTAGGTTAGTTGACCAGAAATGATTGATTGTTGTATTTTAACAATATTTAAACCCAATAAAGAAATTGAAATCTCCCTTTCTTGAGGGTTTTTTGGTGAGGTTTTTAATCACAATCTGCTTGTGGACATCGGTCACTATCCACGGGTCTGATGCTCCAGAACAGTCCCTGGGAGGAAGCCTTTGGCCAGCCAAACCTCCTCATTAGGGACTGACTCCTTCACTATGATAAACCATTTGGCTTCACTGCCTCCTTTAAACTGAGCCTCAGAGCTTTCAGCACCCCGCTTCACACTTTGAGCTGCCTTCAGTGAGTCTGCCCAAGTTAGAAACCTGAAACAGACTTGTACACCTAAAGGGATTACTGCACCCACATCTTTGACTCTCAGCCAGTGTTGTAAAAGAAGTTAGGTTTATTAGATGTCTGGAACTCAGCATAGAAAGTTCTTGGTCAGGACAGAGAATAGAAAATTAAATCATGGTCCATTTTAGTCAGTGCAGAGCCCTGTAACTTCTCTTTTGTTTCAGTTTAAGAGAACAGCCAACTCTTAACTCCACATCTGACCACTGCTTAATCCTTTATACTTGTTTCCTGGGCATATACAGCTGGCTTCTTATGTTTGGATGAGCCATCCATGGGTTTTAGTTGGAAGGTACCAAATCCAGGCAATTGGAGTGGTCATTGACGCCTACCCATTTAGGGCAAGGGCTGCGTGTATATGGGATGTCCAAGAAGACAATCACACCTTATCTCTGCATAGAATAAGTAGCCTTTTCCTGCCACCTGCTTAACAGTACAGCAAATGTGGAAACTGAGGCACCCATACTAGACGTACAAAATATTACAGAACTGTCCCACTCCAGCACATCAATATCAGTTCCACTCCTATATTCCCTCAGAAATATTACAATTAGAATCTTCAGCAAATACCAACCTACAATTTTTTTTTTTGAAGCGCACAGATGTAATTTTTTAAAACTTTCATTAGTCTTTAATTTGCAGATATTAAACAAGTTACAATTTGCCTCTGTTCTAGGGACACTCTTTTTTTCTTGTATTCAAATATTTTAAAAATGTAAAACATTTTTCCCTGTCATACTATGATTATTTGAAGACTTGAATTTAGTAGTACATCAAAGTGGCATGGTGCCAGAATTCAGTTTTGGGATAAAGATCTAAGAACTGCAAAGATACAGTGATAATTGCCATTCTTTGTTACCTGACACATACACTTCACATTTTATTTAAGAAAGCTCCAGGGATAGAATGCATAAGCCATATCTTGAGATGAAACTTTCTTGTGACAAGTATAAACTAGTCCATGTGATTATTTTTTTAAGTACAGTATTTACCCTACACATAAGGTGGAGCTAGTACAATGATTTGTGCTCAGCCAGCCTTTCAGTGACTACTTAATGATACCATCCATTACAACACTTAGACAAATGTGATTTGTTATACATGGAAATTATAGATGTGTGAAATATTATGCTGTTAAACAGATGTTTAAAATGTACGAGAAGAGTTTCCTCTATAAATCCTATATCCCCATTCATTTTGGCCTGAAGATGTTTGCCATTTTTTTCCAGTCTGGCCTTGAAGTCAGCATAGACAAGTCTTTGGCTGAAGGGGATATTGAGAGAGCTGAGGAACTGAGTAATAGATTAGCCACTCGTGAGGTAAGTTGTTTTGATTAAATACTGCCCCTTAGAGCTCTTTAACTTTGTGTATCTAATCATAAGTCATCATAATGTAACCCAAATACTGTTAAAGATTATTCCTGGCATCTTTTCATTTTGCTGCTGCTTAGATAGGCTTCTTTCAGTCACGACCTGTTCTAGCCACAGATGTAATTATAGGACTGCTTGTACAATTATATCTATATTTTCAACAGTGAGTGTAATGTCTATCACAAGGACACTTGACCACACAAGGTCCAAAAGAATTGATCTCAGAAAAAAAACAAACTATTGTGTAGCCACATTAAGACTCAATAGTTATGACTATAAATAGATATCCATCATAATCCTAAGATTTTGGCCTTCTTTCTCATCAGCTTCTCAAAAAATTTCTGATGGCAAGTAGGTTTTTTTATCAATATGCCATACTTCAGACTTTTCCTCTCTTTTCCCACCTTACAAAATCCTCTAGTAAACTCGATGGTAGAGCTCAAGGATATATTTATGTAATGAAAATGTTTTTTGACTTTGGAATAAATGTAATTATTTTTGTTTTTAAGAGCATATCTCAAAATTAGGTTGACTCAGAAACATGGCATCTTTTATTTACATTGCCTGCGGTGGTAGCTAGTATGATGAACTGCATGGTAGGTGGGTGACTATTTGTATATTAACTTAAACCTTTTGAAGGATCAACAGTTTATAAAATGCTGACAGAACTTTTCAACTTTTGTAGTTAATCTGCTAGGTGCCTCTCTGAACTGGGATTTAAAATGAGACACCACACAAATAGGTGTGAGTATATGGCATCAGCAGTGCATCTCTGGAGTCCATCAGAGGCAGCTGGGCTCCAGCTTCCATAAAGGCAGAGGGAGGATGGGGGGAAAATGTGAAGAAAGAAAAGAGAACAGCTCGGAAACCAGGGAAGGGAGTACACTCAAATGTGGCTCTAATAAAGATAAGGAATGGCTTCTATGTTTCCTCTTAATTATACCTACAGGATTTTCCATTTCCCAGCTACAACATATCTCCTACATCCCATGTATCTTCCCATCTTTTCTCTGTCTTACACAATGGAAATTTCAGGCCTGTTGGCTAAGCTGCTAGAATTGAAAAGTTTTTGAAAGTTTCAAAATGAAGAAGGAAAACACCACAATCTAGTTCAGATTTTCACATACATGTTTTTAAAGTATTTTAAAATTTCCAAGAATTCTTTTAAAAAATACAATTAAAGCAGCAATTGCTTATCAGTTAAATTGAACATGGTACTATATACCATTACAGTTGAAACAGTTTTGGAGGCTAGGAAATTTGCACTTAGTTAAATTTTGACTGCCTTGGTACCTGTTTTCTACTGATTCACTGGAAACCGCCTCATTGAGCCACTGAGTGTACTACATAAGTAACTATCATAACCATTGATTGTAAAACCATCACTTCATATAGCAGAACTTCTTAGGTTTGTAATTATACTATCACCATGTGTCTACCCTTTAAGATCACCTACTGCCCTCTTCTCATGTACAGTATCAAAACACCCCTAGCACAACACTTTCAAAGAACAGACTTGAAATGCACCATTTTCTCATCTGCAGTAAATTGGTTAGAGTACCACAATCAACAAAACATCCTGAGATTTCCGTACAAATTTTTTGACTATAAATGCAAATTAACATGAAAAGTTACAAGTTTGTTTACTATTTATAGTGTACTTTATCCATATTGGATAACTGTTGTAACTGGGCAAGAGCTACTAAAGTTAAAATGAGTGTGTCATTAGCAATGTGCCATTTGGAAGGTATGAATGATGACCTATGTGGGTCTAGAATATGGCATAACTGCTGAGTCCAAACTTAATGGAATTGTAGTAGAAAATTTCAAGTAAATGTTGGCTAGCATCAGGATCAGCTAAGTTGAGCTCCTTTTTGCTTGCACTTGGCATGGATGTGATAAGTGAGAATATATGAAGAGAACCATCTTGAAACACTGATGACTTAGACTTCGTCTATACTGTAACCTTCTTCCGTAAAAGCTTATGCAAATGAAGCGTGGAGTAGAATATCACTGTGCTTCATTTGTATAATGAATTAGCAGCCGTTTTTGCTCGAGGCTTTTGTGCAAAAACGAGCAGTGTAGATGGCTCCTTTTTACGCAAAAGCCTCTTGCACAAAAACGGCTCCTAATTAATTATGCTGAAGCTGCTTTGCTGAAAAGGCGAGAGCTAATCTGTGCAGTGAAAAGATGCCAATAAAGTTAAAAGATGGCTATATAAAATTCTAATTGGGCCCATCTTAATACATGCAAGAGATTTGGCCAATGACAACAAAGAAACTCCATATGCTGTCTACTGCAGAAATGAAGACATTGGACACTGACAGGAAATGAAATGTTTTTGTAAGAGGTCTAATGCAGATTGCTCTAATTGAAGCCAAATTGAGGAAAGCAAGGCTGTGTTGGTATGGGCATATAAAACAGAGACTTGAGAGTTGTATCAGTAGGATGGCTCTTGTAGCGATTATGGATGGAAGACAGCCAAGGAGGATACCAAAGATTCACTACATTAACCAGTTTTCTGCAGATCTCAGAGACACCAATATGAATGAGAGCCTGGCATACAATGCTTAGTTTTGGAAGAAGGCTATAAAAGGCCCTGATATTACAATGAGTTTCATTCAGGCAGTCTCCCAGTAACTTCAGTGGGCCTTTCCACGGGAACAAGGATTTGCCGGGAACAAGGATTTGCCTATGCAAAACTCACTGGAAAATTGGTGGTTCTTTTATGCCATAACCACATCTTCATGGATTCATGTGTCTCTCCATAATTGGGGGAGGATAGAAGGGGTGGGATCTACATATGCAAATTTGACAGTTTCCTGGGGCTTGAACAAAGACTTGAAGTGGATGACCCATTATAAAACCTGCTTTCCTTGCATTCAACACCCAATTGACATCAAAAGCTCTGTATGGGACACTTCCAGTCCACGTAGCCTCATTAGCACCAGCACAACAATTGACAGGTATTGTTTTCCCCCTTTCTTCCTTTTCTGTTACAAATTGTGAGGGTTCCCACTTATTTTCTCTACTCAAGTTCATCTGAAGAAGTGGGTTTTGACCACAAAAGCTCATGATTCTGTTGGTCTCGAAGGTGCCACAGGACTACATGTTTTTTAAAGCTACAGACTAACACTAACACGGCTACCCCTCTGAGACTTTTGAGCTGTTGATCTTACTTTTCTTTTCACCTCCAAATGTTCTAAGCATCTGGCAATGGTTAGAGTCAAACACAGAGAAAGAGATTGAGAGTGTAGCACCTGTGAAAGTGGGCAAAAAAGGGTTAAGTTGCTGTTTCTTATACAAACTAAATCATCTTACATTTTTTTATTTTTCTTAATTATTATTCATAAATAGTGTTGTATGTGGATATAAGCTGGTCGAATATGGGATGCAGCCCTGTAGAATGTGTGTTCAGTGGGTGGGTGTTCCTTTAGAAATCAGGTGTATAGATTTTTAATCGGCACTATTTTCTTTCTCAAGAAGCAGTGACTGGAACCTGCTGATAAAGCCTTTGCTTTGAGGCACAGATCCCAGAGTTCTTAAAGCTGTTTCCTGCCTTAATAAGTGAAACTAATTTTTGATGTATAACATTTATAAGCCTGTGAAACTGATAGGGCAGCATCAATATTTAGAAAAAATGAAGCCAAAAATAAAGAGATGGCTGGGAATAGGCAATGAAAACATGCCACAAAAAAGCTAGGGAATGCCAAAATTGTGCTATCATTATGACACAGTGAAGGATGATTTTTTGTGAAATCAGATTCCCTAAGAATCTGAGTGATTTACAGAATGTGCGTATTATGGAGACTGGATGGGCAGATCTCTAAATTCACATCCCTGAAACCCAAAAGTTACCATAGCAAGGTTTTTATTGTCATGTAACACCCGTGACAGGGTATTTTGGAAGCACACGTTGTCATGTTGTATAAGGAGTGAGTATGGAAGCTGGGTATTGTGTATTTCTATTTTGGAAAATACACCTGACAAGAATGGCTTGCTGTTTGAAGAGATTTTTCATAATGCTGCACACAATTTTCTTTGTGCTATTAAGCCTGGTTACCAGATTATTGTGGGCTAGCAGCTGAGTGAATGTGGAAAAAATAAAATCTGATTGCTGTCATCATGGGGCAACATTTTTCAGGATCTCTCTTCCTGTCCTTAAGTCAAACAGATCCAACTCTTTTCCCAGACAGCATGGACATTATACATTCCAACTTTCAAGTGCTAAAATATAGATTTTTTTTTTTTGTAAACTATTTTTAGTTCTACAGTGTGCACAGTAAGATTTTTCTTGATCACAATTAGCATGTGTATTGTGGCAGCTTTAGAGTGAATCATGTTAACAAAATGTTTCTGAGCTTGAAGTTCAGTCTGCTAGTGCATGTGCTAGAAACATAAGCAAGAGAAAGTAAAATTATGTATGTCTCTTATTGATTAAAAAGAATATAACATTGTATATTTTTAATCAATAAGTGTGTACGGGGGAAGTATGGATATGAACACATTAACTCTAATTTAGTAGTTGGCGTGTACAAGTAGACTTGTACACAGAAGCACATAGACTTCAATGCATCTCTTCACAGACCAACCCACTGATGTTCACTTAAAAGTGACTGTGCGTGGATTTGATTGTAAGACTGTTGACAGAACTAAGCAATGTTTGTAGAGAGAGTCCCTGGATTTCATAAAATGTTTTGTAGTGTTTTATAAATGTTACCTAAGCTTGTGTCAGTAGCAAACTGTGGGCACATACCCAATATAACTGAGAATCTTTCTAATAGACATTCTTCATTCTTAAATTGCAGTGTAAATGGCACACTTACTGTACTTTTTATGCACTCCTTTAAATAAATTAATATTGAAAAATTAGATCACTATATTGACTCTGCATAACAGTAAATGCATATCCTATGTCAGATTTATGACTGAAATTACTTTGAAACAAC